GTTGGTTCAGTCAAGGAGTACAGTGGTGCCCTGCATAGCGACGATAATCTGTTCCGGAAAAATCGTCGCTATACGGATTCGTCGCTATGTGGAACAAAAAAGCCCATAGGAATGCATTAAAACACGTTTAATGCGTTCCTATGGGCAAAAAACTCACCGTTATGCGAAAATCCTCCATACAGCTGCCATTTTCGCTGCCCGATAAATGAGGAATGGGCGCGAAAACACAGCGGGTGGCCATTTTTTTACCCAGCGGCCCTTTTGGAACCACCAATCAGCTGTTGGAAAAACATTATGCAGAAATCGGTAAGCAAAACAGCGTACCGATCATCGCAAAGCGATATTTTACCATTAGAAACATCGCAATGCAATCGCTTTTGCAATTGCAAAAAAATCATCGCTATGCGGATTCTTCGTTAAACGAAACACTCGTTAAGCGAGGCACCACTATACTAGGCCGTACTTGTCTGTACTCAATATAGATCCATAACACTTTCAGTCCACAAGACTTCTTCCTGTTTCTGGAGACATCAGGGTTGGCTGGTGGAGAAAGGTTCCTTCCAAATTAGTGTTCATTATTGCTCTGATATTATCCAATGAACAAAATTAAATGGGAGAGGGGTCAGTTCTGTGCCAAAGATGGGATTTTTTAATTTGCTGGGCCACAGATCCCATAATTTTCCCTTCTGGGAATTCTAACTGACTTACGCACCTTACGGATATCCAAAGGTATGTTTCTTGGAACTAAAGGCCTAAACTGGAAGGTGTTGAGGTCTAACTAGACCTTGCTCTGCCTAGCTTCATGTTCAGAAGAAAACTCCCAAGTAGCACTGCGGCAAGAACAGGAAGCTTGGGTGGAACCAGGCCTAGCTATATGCCTCAACTCCTCCCAGTTTAGGTTTTTCTCCCAAATAAGCCATATTTGGGTGCCTGTAAGGTGGAAGTAAAAGGGACGTGGTGGCTGGGTTTACATATTATTTAGCAATTGATTCCGCTGATCTATTCTTAGCTGGGATTAGCAATGAGATAGTGGTCAGAGACCTCATTTGGTCCCATGGCTGAAATCCTGTTGTACAGTTCCATGTATGCAATGGGGGTGATGCCATCAGCAGTGGCAAAGAGCCACTGATTAAAGACTTCTTATAGCCTGTGCATCTGTAGCCCCTATAAAATATTGTTTCAGCCCAAAGGGGTGAGACTAAGAAAGAATAGGGCTATGAGTAAGAGGCTTGAATCTCAGAAAGACAGGGACAGCTGAAGAGGCCAGAGCTACTGTTACCAGCTGGACTACTAAGGCCCTTGCCAACTTATTTATTTCTTCATTTATTTTATTTTATTAAACATATACCGCCCATTGTGGCGGCGCTGCGGGCTAAACCGCAGAAGCCTGTGCTGCAGGGTCAGAAGACCAAGCAGTCATAGGATCGAATCCACATGACGGAGTGAGTGCCCGTCACTTGTCCCAGCTCCCGCCAACCTAGCGGTTCGAAAGCATGCAAATGCGAATAGATCAATAGGGACCACCTCGGTGGGAAGGTAACAGCGTTCTGTGTCTAAGTCGCACTGGCCACGTGACCATGGAAGATTGTCTTCGGACAAAACACTGGCTCTATGGCTTGGAAACGGGGATGAGCACCGCCCCCTAAAGTTGAACACGACTGGACAAAAATTGTCAAGGGGAACCTTTACCTTTACCTTTTTAAGGTGGAAGTAAAGTGGGCCTTAGAAAGCATGGCTAGCAACAAGGCCAGTGGAGGTGATGGCATTCCAGTGGAACTATTTAAAATCTTAAAAGATGACACTGTTAAGGTGCTACACTCAATATGCTAGCAAGTATTACTCAGCAGTGGCCAGGGGACTGGAAAAGATCAGTCTACATCCCAATCCCAAAGAATGTTCCAACTACTGCACAAGGTTATGCTCAAAATCCTACAAGGTAGGCTTCAGCAGTATGTGGATTGAGAACTCCCAGAAGTACAAGCTGGATTTCGAAGGGGCAGAAGAACTAGAGACCAAATTGCTAACATGTGCTGGATTATGGAGAAAGCCAGAGAGTTCCAGAAAAACAACTACTTCTGATTCATTGACTATGCAAAAGCCTTTGACTGTGAGGACCACAGCAAACTATTGCAAATTGTTTGGGAGTGCCTGACCACCTTAACTATCTCCTGAGTAATCTATATGTAGGACAGGAAGCAACAGTTAGAACTAGATAGGAACAACTGATTGGTTCAAAATTGGGAAAAGAGTATTACAAGGCTGTATATTGTCCCCCGGCTTATTTAACTTATATGCAGAATACATCATGTGAAAGGCAGGACAGGATGAAACCCAAGCCGGCATTAAGATTGCCGGAAGAAATATCAACAATCTCAGATATGCAGATGATACCACTCTGATGGCAGAAAGTGAGGAGGAATTAAAGAACCTTGTAATGAGGGTGAAAGAGGAGAGTGTAAAAAACGGCCTGAAACTCAACATCAAAAAAACTAAGATCATGGCCACTGGTCCCATCACCTCCTGGCAAATAGAAGGAGACGATATGGAGGCAATAACAGATCTTACTTTCTTGGGCTCCATGATCACTGCAGATGGTGACAGCAGCCATTAAATTAAAAGATGCCTGCTTCTTGGGAGGAAAGCGATGACAAACGTAGACAGCATCTTAAAAAGCAGAGACATCACCTTGCCGACAAAGGTCCGCATAGTCAAAGCTATGGTTTTTCCAGTAGCAATGTATGAAAGTAAGAGCTGGACCATAAAGAAGGCTGACTGCTGAAGAATTGATCCTTTTGAATTGTGTTGCTGGAAGAGACTCTTGAGAGTCCCCTGGACTGCAAGGAGAACAAACCTATCCATTCTGAAGGAAATCAACCCCAAGTGCTCACTGGAAGGACAGATCCCAAAGCGGAGGCTCCAATACTTTGGCCATCTCATGAAGAGAGAAGACTCCCTGGAAAAGATCCTGATGTTGGGAAAGTGTGAGGGCAAGAGGAGAAGGGGACGACAGAGGACGAGACGGTTGGACAGGGTCATCGAAGACAGGAGGGCCTGGCATGCTCTGGTCCATGGGGTCACAAAGAGTCGGACATGACTTGACTAAACAACAAAAAAGCCATATATCACCCACCTTGGATTTAAAAATTCCCTGATTATTAGGCCATCAGCCCCTCTCCTGCAAGAAGCCACTCATATCATTTGGCAGATCAAGGCAGGTCCCCGAAGCAAGAAAGGTTACAGACTGCATCTCATGTGTCTTCTAACCTGTCTCATATCTCTAAAGTAGCTTGTGGTGCTCAGAGCTCAGGAAATTTGCTCGTTTGGAATGACAGCTCCTTAGCCAGGATCCTGCTGGGTCAAAGCCACAGGCAATAGTCAGAGCTCTCTGCACAAAGAGTTGCTCAGTATCTCATTGCAAAAAACACAAATCCGGCTTTCCCAGTAGGCATCACCGTGAGCACAAGAGTTAGTTATGTGCAAGCAAGCTGATCCTAGCTTCCTAGGCATGTAGAATTCCGCTTTCAGAGAAAGTTTAGTAAGACACTGACCCTAGACATAAAGTAATTTTGCAAGCTCCAATTATCCCATTGTCAGTGTTTAAGTGAGGTTCAACTCAGAGGCAGCTCATGTCCCCAACAGGCACAGACGTTGCCTCTTCTTGCCATTTCAGGGTAGTAAAAGCCCATGTGCCCAGAGGCAGGAACTACACATTTCAGATAACACCCAGTAAGCTTTTTGCTGTGGGTTATCTGCTAACAGGCACAAAACCACCAGTTTTGCACGTCCTGTTTTAATGCAAGTCGTCACATTAATGCAGGATGTGGAGCAGCCATAGCCCTTCCGTTGGCCTAAGGCACAGCAAAAACAGAGCAGCTGCCCAACAATAGCAGTATCACCCGCCAGCCAGCACCAAGATAGCCAGGAAGCCTCTCTCACCACTGACTGAGCAGTGATGTTCTTGCTTGAAGGGCTCCCTTTCAGAGGCACATCAAGCAGGTGAGGACTTTGCATCAGGATCTGCAGCCAGGAAGCCTCCCAGCACTGAATGACTGGTGATAGAAAGCCCAGTGCGGCTTTTTTAAAAGTCTGCCTTAGCACCATTTTTAGAATTGCATCAGGGCTTGCTTTGTGTGTAGCCACCATGATCGCTGCAAATAACAGGTAGTTATAACTACACAGTCACCTGCCCGCCTTTGGCTTCAGCTCCTTTTCTATACAATGAAGGACAGCCACCATCTCATCCTTTGCCTCAGCCAGCCTTGGAATGATTCAGGATAGATATAAAATGGGGATAGAGGGATCCCTGCCGCAGTATATCCGAACAATGGGTGACAAGGAGAGACAAGGTATCACAAAGAGAAGAATGCAGCTGTCGAGATGGGCGAATTCAATGTTCTCCCACAGTTGATTTTTCTTTTCTTTAAATTAGCTTCAGGTTCTTTTCATTCCATTTCTAAAGAAACACGGGGATTTAAGACAAGCTGTTCTTGATGGGGTGGGAGAAGGGAGGGGCAAACAATTTTATGCCACATCTGCAACAGCCAAAATCAACTGGGGCAGGTATTCCCTGAGGATAAAAATAACCGTGCCGTGTGTACCTCCCATGTCACTGCTAAAGATGGTGATCCTTTTACAGAACGGGGAGAACGGTGACAGATCTATTTCAGCACTGCAAATTACGGCTGAATGCACAGAGATTGAAACCCAGACATTTAAAAGCAAAGCGTTCCAAACCATCTGCCTGGATGGGTGAATCATCCTGCTATTTTGCTTCTCTCCTGTGTTCTTAAAAAAAATCTCTCTGTCAAATTAGTGGACAAGATGTGTGGATTTTGGCAAGTCCTGACTAAATCGGGGACCCAATCAAGTGCTCCCCCGTTGCTAGAAAGGCAAAAAGCGGTCCAAGATTAATGCTTCTTATTTTCTGACTCTAGACTCCCTTCCACTGGGGAAGTCAGACACTGTCCGCCGCCTGACTCCCGCCCCATGACAGCTCTCTTCCCCTTTTCTGAGGTTTCCTGCCCAGAGCGATTGCAACTAAGCGGCTCTTGTTCTTCGGGCAGATACCGCTTCTGTCCCAAGGGTCCCAGTGACTGCCCCCCTTGGGGACACTGGATCAGGTCCTTCCCCATCCCAAGTGAATATTGCGAGCATCCACCACCTTCAGAGACTGGACAGCTATGGACCTACTAGGATCTCCAGTTTTCCATGTTCTCCTGGGTTTGGCTTGGGCACAGCTGGGTGAGTTGAATCAAACCCTTGTTATCTCTTCCTCTTTCTGTCCTCCACCCTACCATGATTCTCTCTTGCTCAGCGAGGATCATCCCTTGACCGTTCGCGCCTTGACAAATGCGGCACAGGGCCATTTTATTGTGCTACGCATTTCTCTCGCCCAGAGCCTGTAAAATATACTTTTCTGTATTACAGTTCTTAGAAACATCTAGCCAGCCCCTGCTAATCCCCCAACCAACATATTGGCTAGAGAATTCTGGAAGTTGTAGTCCAAAAAAGTAACTTCTATGGACTTCGCTCTTGCCAGAGGTCAGAATATACTGTCGTAATGTAGAGATGCGTCCAAGATCTCTTGTAGTTCTCCCTGACCTACCTTATAGACTAGATTTTGAACTTTGCTGTCTTTAAATCGCTTCTTTTCCATCCCTCAACCCGCAGATAGTCCTAACCCATAGGGTACTGCCATCATTAGAGACCAGCAGTTTCTTCCTCGCCCATTACGGGACTAAAGAGTAACATTTGCCAAAGAATTTCCTGTCAGACTCTGATCTATGATTGCTGTAGGGACTGAGTCATTATTACAAAATGGCTCCTTAGGCCTCATCTCCATTTAAGCCTGACCCTTTGGTGACCGTCTTCACTCAATTTACAGAGTGCCTTTTTTGGTCCTGTTACAAAACTAGCTATAGGAACAATTATGGTGTTCAATGTATTCATGAAGGCTTTCACGGCTGGGATCTGATGGTTGTTGTGGGTTTTTCGGACTCTTTGGCTGTGTTCTGAAGGTTGTTTTTCCTGATGTTTCACCAGTCTCTGTGGCCGGCATCATCAGAGGACTGGAGTAGAAAGAGCATGGACTGAGTTCCTACTCCTGTCCTCTGAAGAGGCCGGCCACAGAGACTGGTGAAACGTTAGGAAGAACAACCTTCAGAACACGGCCAAAGAGCTTGAAAAACCCACAACAACCAACAATTATGGTGTTCTTAGAGAAATGCAAAGTCTCACATGGTAAGGGGAAGATCAGTCCCTGTTCCCCTTCAACAGGTGCAGCTGGCTGTCAACTTGAACAGTAAAAAGATGGTTCCAAATCTTAGGGGATGCCATCACTGTGTATTAAGCAAAGCACTCTAAACTTTCTCGAACCGGCACCAATTGAAAGTGTCAGGCTATAAACTCTATCACTCCTCAGTTTTTTGAGTAAAATAGGGATTATAATCCAGCATTTCCAAAGGGTGACAGATGAGTGGAGGCTGTCCAAACCTAATTAGTATAGTATAGCTCTTTTTTGTTGTTGTTGCTGAACCAGTTTGGGAAAATTAAGACCACTTTTCAATGGCGAGATTTTTAAATTAAAAAATTACATAGTATTCTATTTCTAGGAGAGAGCTTTGCTTTGCTTTGACAGGCTGTAGGGAGGAAGGTGTGCCAACTGACAGGGCAAGATTTCAAGAAGGATTTTAACAAGCCATGTGAAAATCATCAGAGCGAAGCAACCTAAATGATTCAGGGAACCAGGCTTAATGAGAGAGGGCTGAGGGAGTTTGAGCCTGCAGAAGTAAAACTTCTGATAGATCTGTCCTATGAAAGATGGAGCAAATTTGTCTTCTCCTGCTCCAGAAAAAAAAAGAGCCTGAACTGAGAGATTCAAATTACAAGAAAGGAGATGATGACTAAACATTGGTGAGAACTTCTGAGACCAGGGGCTGGTCAGCAGTGGAGCAAGTTGAAGGATGAGAAGGTGAATTTCCCTTTTTGGTAGGTTTCTAAATGGAAGTTAGATGGCCTTGTGTCACAGAAGCTTTAGCCATCGAAATGACTTTGGACTAGGTGGTCCAAACCTGCATTTCTACAATTCTATCACTCTAAGCGTCATCTTTACTTAACAGGTATTCAGCTTCTGTG